CCTCGGCCTCCCAAAGTGCTGGGATTATAGGCGTGAGCCACCGCGCCCGGCCTGCCAGGGGATTTCTTAAAGAACACAACACTGAAATTCCTTTTCCCCAATGCTCAGCCAAAACCTCATTTGTTATTGCAAGTGATTTTAGGATGAGGATGAAATCACATTTTTTCCCATTGTTTTATTGCAAATCATGGACTATAATGGTATTCCTTCTTTGTTACACAATTTGCAACATGCATTTTTCTTTTTAAGGATATATTGTGCCCTGCCCACAACCTGCAAGTCTTAACTTGTTAGATATTTAAGACTCTGATAAAATATATTAGACTGGGCCAGATGCAGGGGCTCATGCTCATAATCCCAGCACTTTGGGAGGCCAAGTGGGTGCATCACCTGAGGTCAGGAGTTCAAGACCAGCCTGACCAACATAGTGAAACCCCATCTCTACTAAAAATATGAAAATCAGCCTGGTGTGGTGGTGCACGCCTGTAATCCCAGCTACTCAGGAGGCTGAGGCAGAAGAATCACTTGAACCCAGGAGGCAGTGATTGCAGAGAGCCAAGATGGCACCACTGCACTCCAATCTGGGCGACAGAGCGAGATTCTGTCTCAAAATATATATATTAGACCATATAGTGACCAAGAAATCTACCAAGAAGAATCCATTTAGCTCCTAAAGTCCAGCCTTGCTCAATTCCCAAACACTTAAGTTGTGGAGGAGATGAGTGAATAAAGAGGTATCTTTCCCAAACTCCATCAAGAAGAGCACCCATATACATCTTGGAAAACCTAAAGATTCCAGCTCCTCAAGTAACCCATCATGAAGAGTCATATTTCAGGATCTAATAGGAGCATTCCCTTCCTTGCCCCAACACAAAGCTGAGCTTTCCCACAAAAGGGCTGTTTTCCCTAAAAGTCCGGGAGAAAAGGCAACTTTCTTAGTGGAAACATTGCTGAATACTGTAAGAACATTGGAGCAGACCTGAAAGAAGTCACCAATTCCTGACGATGTTTCTTACACAATGGGAGATTATGGGGTGAGGAGTGGAGATTAAGGATCAAGGGACAAGATCAAATATGGAAACAGAAAATCCTAAGATGCAGAAGCGGAGAAAAAGTAACACTTCTTTAAGAGCAGTCAGAAGCCTCTCTCTCTCTCTCTCTCTCTCTCTCTCTCTCACACACACACACACACACACACACACACAGTCTTAGAGAAATGATTCAGCCTTTTAAATACACAGATGCCTGCATTCCCTGTCACTCTCCACATACCCTCTAGAGATTCTGACTGAGTCACTTCAGTCCAGGACTCTACATTTTTTCAATATTAATACCATTTCAGGGAATTCGGGGAATATCATGTCCTAGAGATTGCCAGATGTATCTGCTCTAGCTCTGTTGTAAAGGCAAGGCTCGCCGAAGTTTCTACTTCTTGTTGCCCTCTTTCTGTCCATGGCCTCCCACTATTTGAGTGTGCCCCATCCCTTCAACCTCTGCCCATCAAGTCTGAATTGCTCACCATTCTATGACTTGTCAGCCCTTGAAATTTAGAGAGAGAAAAGAAACTAGATTTTCCCTTTGTCCTCCCATTTCCCATATCATGCCTTTTGGACAATCTGAGCTTTGCTTCTGCTCTCCTCACTACGGAGAGTCTGGCCCTGTGGTTCACAACATGACAATGTTGATTCCAGAAAGGCCTTCGAACCTCTCAACTGGACCCATTACAAAGTTAGTGCTACATGCCAAACTACTGTTTTCTCCAGTCCAGTTTTCTCTTGTCTTGAAATAGAAACATTACAGAAAAGGTGTTGATCTTAAGGAGTTTAATAACAAAACCCAGCTGCTCAAAGTACAGTACAGTATCTTAAGACAAATAACATGGTAGGTCCAACCAACTCCCATAACCAGCAAGGGTTCAGCCTCCAAAGCATCATGTCAGCCAGGCCCGTGCCTCGTACCCTGTCCTGGTTTCCCCTAGTCAAATAACTCAAGCTTTCATTTTTTAACTATAGTACTCTAAACCCCTCATTTCTAGTGAAAGAAACAGTGAGTCCATAAGGCCAGCTTTTTTAAGACTTGATTTTTTAGAGCAGTTTTAGGTTCACAGCATATTTGAGAGAAAGGCACAGAGATTTCCCATCTACTCCCTGCCCCAATTCGTGTATAGCCACCCCCATGATCAGCACCCCCACCAGAGTGTGCCTTTGTTACAACTGAGGGACCTACACTGGCACACTGTTATCACTCAGAGTCCACAGTTGACCCGAGGGTTCAGTCTTAGTGTTGTACATCAGAAGTCCCCAACCCCTGGGCTGCAGATCGTGACTGGTCCATGGCCTGTTATAAGCCAGGCCACACAGCAGGAGGTGAGCAATGGGTGAGTGAGTGTTACTGCCTAAGCTCCACCTCCTATCAGATCGGTGGCAGCATTAGATTCTCATAGGAGTGCAAACCCTACTGTGAATGGCTCATGCAAGGGATCCAGGTTGCCTGCTCCTTGTAGAATCTAAGGCCTGATGATCTGAGGTGTAACAGTTTCATCCTGAAACCATCCTCTGACTCCCACCTGATCTGTGGAAAAATTGTCTTCCACGAAACCGGGCCCTGGTGCCCAAAATTTTGGAGACCACGGAGTCTCCATTCTACGGGTGTAGACAGATGTATAATGACATGTAGTATCATACAGAGTACTCTCACTGCCCTAAAAACCCTCTGTGCTCCACCTATTCATCCATTCCCTCCACACTCACCCCTGGCAACCAGCAACCATCTTATTATCTCTATATTTTTTAACTGTAAGTCCATATTTTTGTTATTCACAAACTGCCTACAACCTTGCTCAAAGTTAGGATTGCCCCCATGTCCTGTTCTGATAAGAACTCCCAATATTTAACTATAGACCTTCAGTCAGGATCAGAAATAAAATCATACAATGCCTTACTCCAGGCTTGAATGATATGCTCTAACTGCAACAAAATCTCTAAACTTAATAATCACACATTCATCAGTGTGCTGTTTGGATTCAAGATTTTTAAAAAAAGAACAATTGCACACTTAGCCCAGACTAAATAGCTTTTAACTATAAAGTGGCTCCAACATTTGCTTTCAAAATAACCAGCTTTTACAGTTCTGTAGCAAGGTCTCTGGTCTGTTCAGCATACTCTCTCCAGCAGTGACCCTGGCCTTATCGGGATCCTGGGTTTTAGGACTGGACACATACACTCATAATATATGTGTTAATATGCCTAGCACAGTATGCAACTCTGTTTCTCACATTTCACTTCAGTTTCTACTCCAGCCTTCACACCAATTTATTTCCACCGTGTTCTGGCCCTTTTGTTTGACCTTCTGGGCACAAGGTCTCCTAGCACGTGTATCTTCCAAGCCCAGTAAAGGCCATGTTTAAAACAAAATAAGAGCCTTCTCTGTGTGACACTGAAACAGCTTGATCATTTTCACACAAAATGACTTGCATCTTGGCAGGGCTAAGTGGTAAACTCAATTAATAAATCCTGAAATTTAATTTCTGCTTCTGACATTCATTGTTAAGAATGTGCTTTCTTACCACCCAGAGGTTCTACTTTCCAATCAACCTCAAGGTGTTAGGGCTTCCCCTGTGTTCTCCCTTTCCTCAAACACATGATGCTGAGAAAAACGTCCTCTGTGGCAAAACCCAAAATTGATGTGGAGTGCAATTCCATTCTGCACCTTGAAGCCATATGTACACAGCACCACGTGTGCAGCAAGGCAGGCATGTAGACGGGGAGAATCAGTGTTTACTGCAAACAGGAAATCAGACCTCAGAACATCCAAGCTGCATGGCATAAGTTCTGATCACATTAACCTCCAGTGAGCACATGCCCCTCATCCCACCCTGAGCAGAGCTGAGAGAACACAGACATTGTCGGGAGCAACTGTTGCCTCCTCGAGGGGCCTGTCTCTTGAAGATTATTAATCTAGATATTCCAGAATTTCTAGTACTCATTTTTGTATAGGCAGAAAACTGCAGTTCATGACATGAGCTAGATATAGACCAAGACCACCACAAAGAGGTTGGTTCCAAAGCACAGCTCACAGCAGGTGAGTACAGTGGAACAGAACAGGCAAGACACTGCTGCATTTTTTTTCAGCTTTATTTTCTCCCAGAAAGCAATTATATCCAGCAGGTCAACTATGATTTGATTTGATTTGATTGATTGACCGATTGATTCTGAGACAGAATCTCGCTCTGATGCCCAGGCTGGAGTGTTGTAGTACTACCTCGGCTTACTGCAATGTCTGCCTCCTGGGTTCAAGAGATTCTCTTGCCTCAGTCTCTTGAGTAGATGGGATTATAGGCATGCACCAACCTGCCCAGCTTTAAAATTTTTAGCAGAGACAGGTTTTCACCATGTTGGCCAGGCTAGTCTTGAACTCCTGACCTCACATGATCCACCCACCTTGGCCTCCCAAAGTGCTGGGATTATAGGTGTGAGCCACTGTGCCCAGCCATGAACTTTGAATTTAACAAGCAAAGTTTTAGTGGTAAGGGGAACTATATGAATTTATGAGATTATTAAAGAAAATATAAACATGGGAACACTATGTATTTTTATAATCCTTTTAAATTTTAGAAATGATTACTGTGACTGATTCTCAAATGACAGTTGATATCACTAAAACACATTATTATTAGAAAAGCCTGTAAGAATTTAGATATTACTGTTTCAAAGTTTATTAACATTTGTGCCTCCATTAAAGCACCTCAGGATGCCCTCAATATTTTGCGAAAAGTCTACTTTTGAAATACACATATAGCTCAGTCTTTCACTAATTTCACTTGCTGCATGCTTGATAGGGTTAGCTTTACTTAAAGTCTTTATTCTTACTGCCTAGATAATTTTTATTCAACTGCTCTAAACATACTAAGCAATCTTGATTCTAACAGTAATAATATATCTTTGTTACTGGTTCTGTTAATTCTAATGATTGGTCCTAGGCTGTTCCTCCCCTTCCTTTAGGAATGGTTCCTTCCAGTCTCTCCATGTGCATGAAAAGTGACAAGCATGGGTCCCCATATTTCTACTTATTGGGCCACCCTAAAGACACGGTTTGTAAAATCTGCATGAATATTATCTTTCTCTAATGAACCTTGGTTTTGCATATGTTTTTAACTGATGTATAATGCTTTCTCTTTCATAGTAGTTTGTCTAATCATTTCTAGAGTTCTGGAGTATATTTATAGCTGAGACCTTACAAGTGTTGAGGATAGGGTTTGCAGATTCATGAAAATTTGAGAGGCACCACATTCTAGCAGGTGCTAGCCTAGAATGACCCCAGCAGGAAGGAAAGAGGTAGAGAACAGCAGAGCAGTGCTGGCAGCGTTCCGCCACACACACTACAAAGCATCCTCCCTGGGATTCAGTGCAAATCACTAAGTTTGTTTCCTCTCAACCCAAGTATAGACAGCTGCAACCTAAGCTGTCCTTTCTGCATCCAACAGAAAGAGAGCCACAGTTGCCAGACCTTCTAGCCCTAGAAACTCCAAACTCCACCTGGCATCATGGGTATTTCCCAGCCTGCTTTGTGGCAGTTATCCAATCAGGACTAGATCCTGTCACCTTCCTTCCTCCATACTCAGTGATGCACCAAGTTTAAAGAAAAAAAAACTTTTTAAGGGCCCATTAGTGACCTTTTTTTAAAGTAGTCATAACTTTACATCAAGTTAATATGCACTACTGTTTCAAAAGGAATGTTCTCAAGTGTTGGCTATATTTTAACCTTGGTAAAAAATCTCAAGGAAAGAAAATGTAACCCATATTTTTTCAAAAAGCCAAATGTAGATGATCACCTTGCAGCTATGGAGCAACTTTTTACCCCTCAAATACATCCCTAGAGCAGCCCACACTTCACTGTCACATTCTACAGTGGCATGTGGCTACTGCCACAATTTAATTGGACTGGGATTTTATATGTCACTTTGGCTTTATAGCAGAAACTGTACTCATGCTCAGTCTCCATAGTTAGCCATAGAAGTATAAATCAAACTGACACACTTCTCAATTCTGGTTCAATTCTGTCCCATTCACACTGTCATAGACATGGCTAAGCATCTCTCCACCAAAATATTTTAAACTAGCTCTCTGAATTTTTTCTGAAATATATTTTCCAATTGTTAATGTCCCTGCTGATTACCATCCAGCACTGGCTAGAATTTAACATGAAAGACAAAATTATTCATTAAATTATTTAATTGGCTTACTACTGAACTTTTCATAAAGTTTTATGCTGACATAAATACACACACACACACACACACACACACACACACACAAAACCATCACAGTCATTCCTTGAAGCTATCTACAAAAACAAGTTTTAAATGTATAATTTCTCCAAAGTGTGTCTCTCAAAATGTAACTTACTGATCAGGGGAAAACTAAGTACCTGAGTTAGGGCATAAAGGAGAAAGTTGCCATGTGCAAGAAAGGGGATAAAGCCATGGAGTAATTATTGGGGAAATCTAGTCCAATGATGATAGGTTAAGGAAGGATAGATTTCCATTTCTGATAAAAGAAAGGTCTATGCTTGCCATATAATTTACTTTAACTAGTCTGTAGTCTATGGGGATGAGACGGCCTGAGTCCTTTACTTTAAAAAAGGGAGAGAGGGCTCTTTGTGGTTTCAGTTCAGTTCCAATAAGCATCTATCAAGTACCACCTGTGACCCCAGCATGTTGCTCATTGCTAGGGCAATAAGGATTAATAAGAAAGGCTCTGCCATGTGCATTCATAAGCTAGTAGGGAAGACAGGGAGACAATAACATAATGGGGCAAGATAAACAGTATTAGCAAAGGGTGATCAGAACCCAAAGGGGCAGTAAGCTAAATCTGCTCAGCAGATTTGTAGAAAATCCTAACCAAGTGGTAAAAATTTTAGCTGGGCATTGCTTTCACCAGAGTGTGGGAAAAGATAAGGCTGTTTGTTTCCAAGCAGAGGAAATAGTTCAAGCAAAGTCAGAGAGATGTGTTCAGAACAGCTATTACATAGGCTAAATGGGAAAGGGGGGTGGCCAAAATGAAAGAGGAGTCCTTTAAAAAATAGCCTTTAGGCTGGGCTATTTTTTCTGTAATCCCAACATTTTGGGAGGCCAAGGCAGGAGAATTGTTTGAGGCTAAGAGATTGAGACCAGCCTGGGCAACATAGCAAGACCCTACCTGTACCAAAAAGAATTTTAAATTAACCAGGTGTGTGGGCACACGCCTGTAGTCCCAGCTACTTGGGAAACAGGGACAAGAGGATTTCTTGAGCTCAGGAGTTTGAGGCTGCAATGAGCTATGATTATGCCACCGTACTCCAAGCTGGGTGACAGAGTAAGACCCCATCTCTAAAGAAAAGAAAGGAAATTGCCTTCTATCCCAAGAAAAGGAATCTGAGGTTTATATAATCAGATGTCACCAAAAGAGATTCTATAATGGGCGGGTAAAAACATCTTTATTTGGAAATATACCTCAGCAGTATTTAAGATGGGCTTTATAGAAAAATGCAGGCAATTAAAATGTTATTGCAGAAGTTGGGGCAATTGATGTGAGGGCCAGAATGACAAAAGTGTGGTGGAAATAGCACACTGGGATTGGATATTGGGGATACTTCAGTCATTTCATTGATGAAAATAAAGAAGGCTAGTGAATAATGAATGTGAAGGACAGGATCAGTCAGGGGAAAAGAGGACTGTGGCCTGGGGCTGGGCAGAAGATGATGCCGGTAAGCTAACAGGAAACACGGGTGAAGTGGCAGCTTAAGCAGAAGAATGATGAGGTTGGTTTGGGACTTGTTGAGTTTCAGAGGCCTGAGAGTCACTTAAGTGAGGAAGCCCAGAAATAGGGCACTTGGATGAGGCACTCAGGAGCTGGAGCTGCAGCATTTGAGGATTCCTGGAGAGGAAATGGAATCTTAAGTGGGGCTGAGCTCTCCCAGAGAGCACCCACTGTGGACAGAGAGAAGAGCATCAGGTGACACAGCCCCATTGGACTGGGAAGTAAGAGAAGTTGGTGAAGAAAATCAGGAGACGGCAATCTGAGAGGCAGGAAGAGAACCGGAAGAGAAAAGCAATTTGGAAGCTAGAGGGGGTGGTGCTTCAAAAAGAATGACCCATTTTCTAGATGAAAAAGTGGTTGTATCACCCAGAGATAGGCTGGGAAGCAAGTTAGAAAAGGAGGGAGGGTGGAGAGGATGGGCACGGTGCCAGGCACACAGCACGCAAGAATGATGGCTTTGTGTGGATTCGTCCTACTCCCTGGATCTCTCTGTAGGCCTTCCCCACATGCCTCCCACATTCTGAGCCACTCTGGGAGCCCACCCAGTGTGGACACCCACCCGGAATTACTAGAGCTCCTACTTAGCTCCAGCCATGGGGGCCCAGGCCCTGGTGTTTCTGGTTTGTTTTATCAGAGGGCAGAGGAGGTCAGAGTGCAGAGGTGAGAAAGACACCGCCTCTATGCCAAAGTAACTCTCCATAGGGGGAATGCTTAAGGAACATGGGGTACTTGTAGTTTATCAAGAAAAGAAAAAAATATATACTCTTATTGAAATCATTTATTGGGTTCTTTTCCCAACTTGACGTATAAGGTATTCTGGAAACAGGCATGCCCTCTCTCCAATTTTTCTTTTCCTGTGACATACTGCATTTTGAAATCTGAATTTTATCAAGACTCCAGTGACAAAGTCCCCTCAAAGATCACCAGTTTCACTATGGTAATGAAATCTAATGACAGATTCAACCCTTCAGCCCCTTGAGACTCCCTGAAACAGCTAACACTGTTGGTCAGTGTATTTGCTGGATTTTCTCTTACCTGTTCGATTGCTCCTCTGGGGTCTTCAGATCTCTTTCCACCCATAACAGCCCTCCCACTCTCTCCTTCAGAATCTCTCCTGCTGTCATGGTTCCACCTGTCCCCACTGTGCAGAGGACTCTTGTGTCTGTTTGCCACCCCGCCTTCATTCCACAGCTTCATCCCAAGACTTCAAACTGCCTGCTAGACAATTCTACCCAGATATCCTGCATTTATGCATTCCAAATTGTATTCATGACCTTCCCTCCCAAAATATTCCTCCTCTTGAATTACCTATTAGTTAACTGTCCGGCTCAAAACCACCATGGCTGGCTTCCCCACTCTCTATGTGGGGGAAGGGGGGGTATATACACCAGTCCCCAGGTGTGAGCATACTTCTTTCATTTCCCACATCAGCCCTCTCCTCCATTCCCATTGTCATTCTGTCCCAGTTCAGGCTCACTCCCCCGGATTAGACAGCCTTTACCAACAGGATACCCTGCTGCTATGCTGCTATGGTATATCTTCCCTGCTCATTGATGAAAAACAAACAAACAAAAAACCCTTTTTTTGAGACAGTCTTGCTCTGTCACCCAGGCTGGAGTGCAGTACCACAGTCTCAGCTCAGGGGAATCTCCGCCTTCTGGGTTCAAGCAATTCTCACCCCAGCCCACCAAGTTGCTGGAATTACACTCGTATGCCACCGCCCCTGGTTAATTTTTGTATTTTTTAATAGAGATGGGGTTTTACCATGTTGGCCAGGCTGGCCTCAAACTCCTGGCCTCAAGTCATCTGCCTGCCTTGGCCCCCCATACTGCTAGGATTACAGATGTGAGCCACTGCGCCCACCCAAAAACCCTTTAATGCATCCCCAAGCTGTCCATGATTTGGCCCTATCCTGCTATTCACTCTGATCTCTTATCTCCCCTAATACCCGGTTACATAGGTATGTTCCAGCTACACGGGACCTCTTGTCATTGCCCTGCATCCCCACCTTCAGGGTGGGGCGCATGCTGTTCTCTTGGCTTAGAAAACCCTTTCCCCAAGTCTCGTCCCTTTTCAAGACCCAGGTCCAAAGCCTGCCTCCTCCATGAATCCTTTCCCAAGTCTGGCAATCAGAAGGGATCTCTCAGTCCTCTGAAGTCTCCTAGCCCTCATGCCTCTCTCCTTTTCTCTGTCACTCTCTGCTTTGCACCATAGTTATCAGTATGCATATACTTCCTCTCCTCTGTGGTATTCAAACTCCTTGAAGCCAGGAACCTAGGTTCTTAGTATAGTG